ATATCTTATCAAAAATAGACAACAACGCAATTTTAGAATTGAATTCAATATCTTTTCCAAATATATCATATATTTCCTTAAAAATCAATTTCCAAAATTTCCGAATCCATTTACTCTCACCACATATGATAATACGTGCCAATTTCTTCATCACATTTCCAGCAGGCCTTAGAATAGTCTGAATTTATTATATTCAATTTCACTGGGGTCATGTACCACCTTAAACTAATAAAAAAAAATTTATTCTTACCAACATTAATCTTAAAACTCTCATCTTCCAAATTTTTGTCCAATCCTCTGTTTTAATTTCTGTCTTTAAATTGCATTTCCAAGTTGATTTCAAACCTTCTATTTCTGTCTCGTTTTCCTCTTGTTCCAAAATGATGAACGAATGAATGAATGAATGAATGAATGAATGAATGAAGAGTACCTCTAACGCCAGGAGAATCTAGTGTCACACGAATTTGTCCTTAAAGAATGGTTGGTGTCGTCTCTTCCTGGTGCTACTTACTTCCTCAGAGTATCTTTCTGCATGTCTTCATGTGATGATAGAAATTGTTCGTACTTAGTACATTCTCAAGGATAGCAAATCCTCTAATTTCTTTCTCCATTTTTTGTAGGAGAAAATTAGCAGCCACACAAGCCAGGAATTATCAGCCATACAAATCAGGGCCATACTTGGCAGAATTTTCTTCCCAACATATATCTGGATAATTGAAATCTCGCATCACTACTACGTCATGTCTCTTTGAAAACCCTGCAATTTCTTTTTCAAAAGTTCCACCCGCTTTCTCTCTTGGATTGGGCAGTCAGTAGTAGACTCTTAACTACCAAGTTCCTTTTGCCTTTTGCCCCAACTAGATTGATCCATATGCTCTCGATGGTACAGCCAATCTCCTCGTCCTGTATATCTGTGCAGGAATGCATATTTTTGACATATGCTGCAACTCTACCTCCCTTTTTATTCTCTCTATTCTTTTTGATCAGTTTATATCCCTCGCTTACCGTATTCAAGACATAGGAGTCATCCAAACCAAGTTTCAGTTATTCCTATCAAGTCATACTTACCCTCCTGAATTTAAATTTCCAGTTCTTTTTGTTTGTTTCCAATACTCCTTCTATTTCTATACAGACACCATAGGGTATGTGATTTGTGGCCTGTTTGTTTTTCTACATTTTAATGAATATTATTATGATAATTAGTGTTATTGTTGTTATGATTGTTAATGTTATTATTGTTGCCTTTTTGATCAGTTTGGTCCAGTGTGCAAGGCTTCACCTTAGAGAGCAAGTAACTTCTAATCTAACTGTGTAAGAGCTTGTTACACTGCTCACTACCCAACAGCAATTACTCACTGGTAACTGTGTTTACCATAACTAGTTACTTCTAAGCTTTTTTTCTCCTTGCATCCTTTTCTCTTTGACTCTTTCTGAAATACCATAACTAGTTACTTCTAAGCTTTTTTTTCTCCTTGCATCCTTTTCTCCTTGACTCTTTCTGGAACAGCTCAAAAGTAAAATTAGAGGTTTCTGGAGGTGTGAATGTGTGGGCGAGCTCAGTTTACAACATCTCCTGACCAGTTCTGCCACTGGAGTGGTCGTTTAGAAAAGGAGATATTTCAAGATTTGGGAAACAGCAAAAGTGTCTGCAGTCCAAATCCCTCAGGAAGCTCCAATAAATAGGGGTAGAGAGCGGGTGTCACAACCAAACTTACAACCCCTTGTAATGTACACTAGTCATAGCTAAATCAGCTCTACCCACCACCCCACTGGAAATAGTCCCTAAGTGTTCTATGAGGGAACAAAATTTGACCTTTTTATATCTTTCAGAAACAATGCAATATCCGTGAGGGGAAAAGTTTATTTTTGTGTGCATGTGGGTCTGGTCTCGGGGTGTCTCTGTGAACTTCATTGTATGGGTATACTACGTATATAATAAATTTATTTGACTTAAATTTCCCAGAATCCTCCGGCCACCCTGGCAGGTGCTATGCTGGATGGAGGATTCTGGGACATGTAGTCCAAAGAGAAGCATTTTGTTCCTCTGCATGATAAAATGAACAAAGGAAAAAAGTGCAGGATGGAATAATGAGGCTCAAAGCATGAGATGAAGTTAGAAGAAAAAAGTCACACAGGAAGCAAAGATACCTGCGATTCACCTGCAGAAAATCAAGGTTGATGTTCCTTCGTTTCCAGCCCTTCCCTCCAGGTAAAGCTCCCTCCGCTCCTGAAGGCACCGCAGTTACTGAGGAAGAAAAAGACACGCAAGGACTTTCTTCTGAGGGTCAGGATCCGGAGGAGTCAGAAGAAGGGGGTAAGAAGAGCGATCCAGAGTGGAGGAGATCCAGGGAAATTTAGCGCAACTTTTTAAGGAGGGCTTTGCACCTTTCCTTTAAAAAAGCTTTGGAAATGTTACTTTTTTTCAGACCACAGTTCGTAAAAGTCGAACCAGACCGTGGAAGAGTTATGGGAGTTGTAGTCCACCGGAAAAGGTATCTTTCCAGACCGCAGTTACTGAGGAAGAAAAAAAGACACGCAAGGACTTTCTTCTGAGGGTCAGGATCCGGAGGAGTCAGAAGGAAGGGTAAGAAGAGCGATCCAGAGTGGAGGAAATCCAGGGAAATTTAGCGCAACTTTTTAAGGAGGGCTTTGCACCTTTCCTTTAAAAAAAGCTTTGGAAATGTTACTTTTTTTCAGACCACAGTCCGTCAAAGTCGAACCAGACCGTGGAAGAGTTATGGGAGTTGTAGTCCACAGGAAAAAGTATCTTTCCAGAGTCCCCATTCAGATTGGCGGTTCCGTAGGAGAAAGGGGGAGGACCTTCGGGGAGGGGAGAAGGAAGAACACTTCCGGTGAAAAAAAGGCTTCCTCTTCCTCTCCATATTTTTTTTCTTCCCCTCTAGGAATGTCACACTCTGTTGCTCTTAACCCCTTCAGAGCCAAGCGCTAAGGTCCTTCCTCTGCTTCGCTCACAGGAGGCCAAAGGAAAACATTCCAACCTTGCAATTATGGTGATTCTTTTCCTGGTTTCTACTATTGTAACAACTCCCCTTATTTTTTTTTCTCCCTGGAATTTACAGTGCATTTTTTTGTGAATGAAAGCCCATTGTCTGTGGGATTTATTTCCCAATTTGATTATAAAATTGAACCAAGGAGTGGCTGTCTTTGACTAAACAGTTCCTGGCAGGAGGTTAAAAATGCCCGAGGAAGAGGAGGCACTGAAATTCGAGGTGGATGGCAGGGAAAAGCCCGCATTGCCGTCTTTTACGAGTGTACTAAGATACAAGCCCCTTGAAGCTCAATGGCCCTTACTTCCAAGTAAATGGATCTAGGAGGGCAGCACATGCTCTTAAGAGGAATGGAAAAGATCTACTTTCCATTTGCTTGAATGAAAACGAGGTCGTGTACATAAAAAAATAAAATGCTCACCTTGTTCAAAACTTTTTTTCACCTTGTTCAAAAACCAAGGAAAAAGTCCTCAAGTGAAGGAGTAAAATCCAATGATCCCCATGTAGCAGACCAAACGGCAGACTATGTAATTACCATCTTATAGCTCATATAAAAATCCCTTTAAAGGTCAAAATGCTTAATTTCCTTTATGTAAATGCAGATGGCACAAACAGCAGGTACCTCCTTCTCCAGCCACATCCAGCTACTTTGCTTTGTCCTCCCTTCCCTCCTTGTTTTACTCACTCACCTTTTGGCTTGCAATGCTTGTAATTTTTAAATAATTATTTGTGACTGTTATATACTGTACTCTACTTTGTGGGAATAGACATTTAGAGCCAATCCTGTCTATTTTATTTTTTTTTTTGCCGTTTCCCCATTCCACAGATCAACCAGGGCTTCAACAGAATCACCCCCCAAGGTGTTACGAAATTCCTCGACTGCCATCAGGAAACCACTTGGATTCATCAGCTTTCTGGGATGGACCATCTTAGTCTGTCCCCCAGCAAAGGTTCTGATTTCCATTGAGTCCAAACCCCACCATACACCGTGTTTCCCCAAAAAGAAGACAGGGTCTTATATTAATTTTTGCATTGTGGCTTATTTTCAGGGGATGTTTTATTTTTTCATTTTTTTCATTATTCAAATACGGTCATTTCATCTTTTGGTTACTGCACAATGGTGGCGTTCAGGGGATGTTTTATTTTTTCATTTTTTCATTATTTAAATACGGTCATTTCATCTTCTGGTTACTGCACAATGGTGGCAGGTGGGCTTTCACTGAACAGGGATTATTTTTGGGGTAGGGGTTATATCGCGAGCCTCCTGAATAATCATACCAGGGCTTCTTTTCAGGTTAGGTCTTATTTTTAGGGAAACAAGGTACTGATCTGTCCATGACAATGGAACTACAGGGTGTTCCTCCACAGTCAGGTCAGCAACACCTACCCCAGTACAGAAAACCAGCCTTAAAGTGTGTCCTGCAGCATGAATGCGGGCAGATAGTTTGGGACAGGCCGATGGTTGTCATGGGTTATCTGCCTGGAAAACCCTGAAAATAGCCACCATAACTCAAAATTGTCTGGATGACACAAATATTTATTATTGTTTTGACAATATGCATTGAATCTCTTTTTACACTCCAGATAATTGTCTGGTTTCTCCCCAGTGTGAATCAGGGAAAACAAGAGCATTTTATTCGCGAAGGCTTTCACAGCCGAGATCTAATGGTTGCTGTGAGTTTTTCGGGCTCTTTGGCCATGTTCTGAAGGTTGTTCTTCCTAACGTTTCGCCAGTCTCTGTGGCCCGCATCTTCAGAGGACAGCCCCAGAGCACAGGCTGCTGTCCTCTGAAGATGCCAGCCACAGAGACTGGCGAAACGGTAGGAAGAACAACCTTCAGAACACGGCCAAAAAACCCCACAACAACCAAGAGCATTTTGGTTTTTTGGAGGTGCTCAAATGATTTATCCCAATGTGTTTCCACACTTCAGTCATTTAAATGACTTCTTTTTCCTATGTGTACTTTGATGGCTAATCAGGAAGTTTTTCAACCTAAAGGTTTTTCCGCATTCCGTACATTCAAATGGTTTCTCCCCTGTGTGGATTCTATGATGGAAATTCAAGCTTGAACTCTGGCTGAAAGTGGATTCTATGATGGAAATTCAAGCTTGAGCTCTGGCTGAAAGTTTTTCCGCACTCCAGACATTTAAACGGCTTCTCCCCTGTGTGGATTCCTTCGTGGGTTATAAGATGTGCTCTCTGTCCAAACGTTTTCCCACATTCTAGGCATTCAAAGGGTTTCTGGCCCGTGTGGGTCCTGTGATGGGTAGCAAGGTGTGCATGTTGACTGAAACTCTTCCCACACTCCAAGCACGTAAAAGGCTTCTCTCCTGAGTGGATTCTTTCATGGGTTATAAGACTTTCTCTCATTCTGAAGGTTTTCCCACACTCCAAGCATTCAAAGGGCTTCTCGCCTATGTGTGTCCTGTGATGTCTAGCAAAGCTTCCACTTCGACTGAAACTCTTTCCACACTCCAGGCACGTATATGGCTTCTCCCCTGAGTGAATTCTTTCATGGGTTGTAAGATGTTCCCTCACTCTGAAGGTTTTCCCACACTCCTGGCATTCAAAGGGCTTCTCGCCTGTGTGGGTCCTGTGATGGGTAGCAAGGTTTGCACGTTGATTGAAGCTTTTTCCACATTCTAGACATTTAAATGGCTTATCCCCTGAGTGAATTCTTTCATGGGTTGTAAGACTTTCCCTTACTCTAAAGCTTTTTCCACACTCCAGGCATTCAAACGGCTTCTCACCTGTGTGAATACTGAGGTGTTTAACAAGGTTTGCAGAACGACTGAAACTCTCTCCACAGTCCAGGCATGTAAATGGTTTCTCGTCTTTGTCAATCTTCCCATGGCAATCAAGTGCCATTTTATGTGCACAGGTTTTCCCACACTTGGAGTACTCATCGCTCTCCTCTCCTGTGGGAGTTTTCTGATGGTCTTGGACTTCCTCTGGACAAGCAATGGGTCCATCCATCTTCTCATCTACTAGTTTTCCTCCCAGGTTCTTCATTCCGTCTTGATTCTCATCCTCCTTTGCATTCGGACATTCCCCCTTTTCTTCTGGCACTTGATGGCCAGCTCTTTTGTTTCTCCTCTTTGACATTTTCCTCCTAAAAAGAAAGGAAATAAAAATGAGTGGGAAAAACAGATTTTCAATTCAAGTAACAAAGTCGATGAGCTGCTAAAAATGATTCAGGAGAATAAAATCTGGCTCATGGGGGAGTCCACCTTCACAAACATCAGTGGGAAGGCTAATTATGTCACCAATTAAGACACTAAGCGAAACCAAACGGACTTTATTTTGCTCCTCTCTGCTGGACAAAGATGATAAGCCATTCCACTTTATTTCTTGCCATAACATCTATGATATTCTGTGAGAAAATGGTGGGAAAACCCTGGTGAGATCCATGGTTAGAAACAGATGTAGGTTTTTCACAGCCTCCATGAAATGTTTACGTATTACTTTTGAGAGCCTGTCATGGAAAGCTGCAGTTTAGCATGAGGCATGCTTTAATTATCGCTCTTCTATTAATCTTTCCCTGTTTCCCTGTTCCTTGAATGGCCATAGGTGTCTCCTTTTGGTTAAGGGGCTTCCCCTCCCTAAAAATAATCTGCCATTGTAAGCCTTTAAATGCTCTTGCTCATGCAAATTACACCTGTTGAGTTGAAAAGCTAATATCCCCCTCTAGCAAAGAGAGAAATGTGACAGCCCTTTCTAGTGTTAGTCAAAGGATGTACCTGCAAGATTCTCACAGTTTAATTATACAGGCTACACATTGCCCCCCCAGCAAGCTGGGTACTCATTTTACCGACCTCGGAAGGATGGAAGGCTGAGTCAACCTTGAGCCGGCTACCTGGGATTTGAACCCCAGGTCGTGAGCACAGTTTTAGCTGCAGTACAGCGTTTTAACCACTGCGCCACGAGGCTCTTCTTCTTTAAATGCTATTGCTCATGCAAATTACACCTGTTGAGTTGAAAAGCTAATATCCCCCTCTAGCAAAGAGAGAAATGTGACAGCCCTTTCTAGTGTTAGTCAAAGGATGTACCTGCAAGATTCTCACAGAGGTTGATCAACCAGATTGTTATTATTTGTCCTGATTTATTTACATTTATTTAAAATATATATTTTACCCCATCTTTCTCCTTGAAAAGGATCTAGGGTGGGCTACATCATGAAAAACATCATATTAAAAGATAAAGACAGTAAATGATTCAAACGTTGAAGAATTAATTATCTAAATTAATATCTAAAATGTTAGGTAAAAATAATGTGAAAAACAGATTTAGAAACAAGGAAATATAAACCATCCCATTTATTTTCTCAGAGACAGTCACTCACTAAGGAAAATCCTTCTTTGAGGGGCCTTTGTACTGATGGATTTATTGTCTTTATATCCCACCAAGGCCGGATCCAGGACAGCTCATGAGATGAGCTTCTTTAAATATTAAAGATGATACTGATTCTTTTTTAAAAAAATCTGAGCCATTATAACGTTAAGGAAACATTTCGGGAAAAAATAGGTTTTTAAGCATTGCTTAGGTACAGCTTCCCTTAAGCACTTGCTTGTGATCAATAATCAACGCAGGCCCATGACATCAATATTTTGATATCTTGAATATTTCTCCAGAATAAAGTGGTTTAAGGCTTTCAGAGTTTGTATTACTAAAATATCTGGAGTTCCAAGTTTGGGAAGCCTTTGGGATAGCAAATTGCCTGGGAAACAGGGAAAGGATTTTAAGTAATAGGCAGCAGTAGAATCTATTGGCAGAATGTGTGGAAAATTGTGGGTGGATTCTGATTTTCTTTTGCGCTCTCCTTGTTTCCTCTCAGCTGACTTTTCTTATTGGCAGAGTGTGGAAAATTGCTGGCCTACAACTCTTCAGCTACACAGTGCAGAAAAATTCAGACAAGGATTTACAGAACAGATTATTATAATTACAAGTCTCCCTCAAATATATCACCCCTTATTAGTTAATTTTACCTCAACTGGCACATAGTGTCAATTGATACAGTCAGAGAATCTGGTGTTGAGATAAAATAAAAATGTTTCTATTTTATTTATTGCTGGCCTACAACTCTTCAGCTACACAGTGCAGAAAAATTCAGACAAGGATTTACAGAACAGATTATTATAATTACAAGTCTCCCTCAAATATATCACCCCTTATTAGTTAATTTTACCTCAACTGGCACATAGTGTCAATTGATACAGTCAGAGAATCTGGTGTTGAGATAAAATAAAAATGTTTCTATTTTATTTACAAAATCATAATATATATCACAATAAAAACATATTTACTTGTATGTGTGTGTGTGTTGTCAAGTCAGAACTCACAACAATCTTGACAGGTAAGTGAGATATTTAAGGAGTGGTTTTATCACTTTCACTTCCCCAGGGGCTGAACAGAGATTCGAACCCTGTTCTCTGGAGTCCTAGTCTGTCACTCTTATTGACTACTACACCACACTGGGAATCCCATTCACTTGTTACACAAGTCTTGTTTAAAATCTTAACTGTTTAGCATCATTCAGAGTGTCGAAAACTGCTGGCCTATAAATCTTCAGCTACACAGTGGAGAAAAATCCAGACAAGGATTTACAGAACAGATTATTATAATTACAAGTCTCCCTCAAATATATCACCCCTTATTATTAGTTAGTTTTACCTCAACTGGCACATAGTCCCAATTGATTCAATCAGAGAATCTGGTATTGAGATAAAATAAAAATGTTTCTGTTTTATTTACAAAATCATAATATATATCACAATAAAAACATATTTACTTGTATGTGTGTGTGTGTTGTCAAGTCAGAACTCACAACAATCTTGACAGGTAAGTGAGATATTTAAGGAGTGGTTTTATCACTTTCACTTCCCCAGGGGCTGAACAGAGATTAGAACCCTGTTCTCTGGAGTCCTAGTCTGTCACTCTTATTGACTACTACACCACACTGGGAATCCCATTCACTTGTTACACAAGTCTTGTTTAAAATCTTAACTGTTTAGCATCATTATTTTATTATATTTTTTAAATTTATTTTTATTATTTTGACTAACTGATAGCATAAATACTTTACTCATATTCTAACTGTTCTCCATGACTAATGAGAATTTAACCCTCACAGAATGCTGCCATTACTAACTCACGCCGAACTCTGACCCAGGTGAAAAATGAAAAGGCGGGAAAGGGAATCTGAGGTAGAGAGGGAAACAATTGGCTGTATTGCATGATTGACATTCACGCAAAGTCCCTCCCATCCAACCTTGCTAAAGGCATAATGTGCAGGTTGCTCTAATTCCAACAGGATCAATGAACCTGATTTGCCTCTTGACATCATTTCTGGGAGACAATCTCTGAATATATTTGTTTTGATTTGTCGTTCGTCAGGGTCGATGACTCACAAATCAAGTATTTTTTTTGCTGATGAACTGATTCATCAATTCATGATTTACTTTACAGCTCTATAAAATGGCCTTCAAAGCAGCTAGAGACACCAAATTCACACGGAAGCTTCCTCTTACCCTCCTCTACAATCCATCCAAGTTTGGTGACGTTTGGTTTTTGGCGGTCCATGTTATACACCCACAAAGAACCCACCCCGAATTCACAAAATTTGCTAAAAATAGGTTGATCCAATCCATATTTGTCTAGGCCATTGACTTGTGTAAATATGGATCAATGAATTCATGATTTCTGAATAAATTTGGTGCTTTTTAAAATTTGTGGCCATCTCTGTCCCTAAAATTTGCCCATCCTTGCCTTTTAAAAAGTACATATAAACTCCAAGTTCTACTGCCCTTGTCACAAGAGGCTAAAGGAGATCCCAAAACTGCGGGCTGATAGGTCCTCACACTACAACTCCCAGAAGCCTTAGGCAGCACATCCAATGGGTTGGAGTTTTTGTAATCCAAAAATATCTGGGGTTTCAAGTTTGAGACACCATAGGGCCAGCAAATTACCTGATAAATGTTCCATCTCTCTCAATGCCAATTCAGACACTCCCTGATGCCCCTAAAGGGGGAGGTACCACTCTGGGTGGTTTACAACGAATAACAAAAAACAGTACAGGAACAAAATAGGAAATAGCAACATTAATATATAGGGATGGAAATCAAAAATCATAAAGTGATGTGAGGGTAAAATTGTAATACAATAACTACAATTAAAACCATAGAAGAAAATAAAAACATGGAGCACAGCAGTATTGACTGATAGATTGATTTTCTTTCTATCCCACCAAGGCAGGACCCGGGAAGCTCACCACCTCAGCTGTCATAGACAAAAAAAACCCAACCCATATAATATGAAGGAAGAATTTGGAAACAGGTCTCCACCTTAAAAACAAGGGTAACCCCTTATGGTCCATATGGACTTCAGCCTAACAGGTGGGGAAATCTTAGGAAGGAGCTGTGATTCAAAGTTTCCGTTGGAAAAAGAAGAGGCAGGAGCTGCTGGGTTCCCCCCTGCCATCTTTTCCCACGGATTTTTGTGCAGGAGGAGGCACTTGGAAGGATGAATCCACACAGTGATCTTATGTATTTTCACTTGAATTTGACTTTTATTTCAGGGCTTTAGAGACCCTTTGTAAGGGTAATATATACATATATACATATATATGTATATGTATTGTATATGTACTGTACACACACACGTATGCATGCATGTATGTATGTATGTATACACACTGTGTGTATATGTGTGTGTTTATACACACACATATACAGACACACTGTGTGTATACAGTATATATATACATACATATACATACATATACATACATATATACATATATATACATATATATACACACACACACACATACATACTGTGTGTGTGTATATAGTATATATATGCGTGCATATATATACATACACATACATATACAGTACACACATATACATATACTGTACATACGAAGACGTTTGTGTTTGCAGTTCTCATTCAAACACACACACACACACACAAACTGCCCCATAGAACCAGACATGTTGCATAAGCGCTGGATTAAAAGAAAACAAAACCATCTAAAATAACAAAAACCAGAAGAGGGACCGGGGTGGGGGGGGGGGGGAGAAAACCGGCAGGGGGCGCTTACCAGATGGGCTCTT